ATTCTCTTACAATAAAAAGAATATATTTAAACTCCATATCCTAAGATAACAAGAAAAGAAACTCAGACTAGTTTATCTGCAGCCTAAACTAAATATTATTAATAAATTATTATTTTATTTAAAAAATACTAAATTTTTCAAGCAAATTTGCCTAAAATACGGTTTAAGAGATAAGAGGTGTAGCAACTTAGTGAAGTAATAAAGTTGTTGCATCTCCAAGCGGTCAATTACAAGTTCAATTTATACAGAGAAAGAAAATTAAATGTAGAAAAAACAGATTTGGTAATTATTGTTATAACTAGGAAAACTCAAGACCTTGTAACTGCAATTATACTAAATAATAGTCATATTAGAATTAGAAAATCTCTAGACATTTGTGTAATAAATAAATTACACAAAAGCATGCAAGTTGGTTTAGTTAGTGCAAACTTAAGATAAGTCCTTAGGGGTTGCAAAAAGCTAACAGAGCTAATACGACAGTAAGATATTCACTTGGCAAGTCTCAAATAGAGAAGTAGCAAAGACTTTTAACAATATTACTGGAATAGGCTTCATCTGAAGCTGGCATAACTGAATAAGAACTAGGTATCTAAAAAGAAATATTTAACCAATTAGGCAGAACTCTGAATAATCTATAAACAATTAGCAATTTACAAAAATTACTAAATATAAAAGCTTTGCAGAAAAAAGGTCTGAAATAAGCAAACTAATTACTATAAATAGAAAAGATTAATAAAAAAATAATCTAAAATAAGCAAACTAAAATCTTATCTATCTATAAATTGTTCAAGGTCCTAATCAGACCATTAGAATACAAAAGAAAAAAAATCTGCAATGCAGATATCAAGAGACTAGTATTTTTTTTGGTCTATCTGAATTAGTAGTTTGGAAAAACTGGCTAGAAGGTATTAAAAAAAAAGTTATCAGGTTGTCTTAAAGAAGATACTGAGATTTAAATAAATTTTATAAAGGCAGAAGTAGGTTGTATAGCAGTGATTAGACCATAATATAGTTACAACTTTATGAAAAACCAACAAATACAAAACAATTAGAGAACACTTTTATTATAAACTAGAATGCAAGTGGTGGGTCTCTGCCTATACATATTAACTGAAGACTAGGTTAGTCAGATTGTGGATATAGAAAGCTTTAACAAATAATGTCTTAAGAATGAATCGGTTAACCAAATAAATAAATAACTACAGTTAATTCTTTCTAAATGCATGTTTTTAAATGAATATTTTTTTTAAATTAGGTTTAAATTTTAGACCTATATATATATTTAATTTTTATAAATGTATTTTTCTTAATTATTCTCTTAATATATGTTGCTAAAGTCTAATTCTAATGAGATGTGTTTAGAGTGAATAAACTATAGTATATATATATAATTTATAATAATGATAAATAAATACTAATATTGTAGAATAATAAAAAAATAAAGTTTTAAATAAGAAATTCATCAAGCAATATAATTATTGCTAAGATTACATAATCATTATAGCATGGCAGTATCATATAATTACTATTATTTTTAGAGCTAACTTTATATATAATAAATAAATAAGATATAGTAGTTATATTATAATACAGTAAATTGTTTTTTATAAATTTTATAATTACAGTATATACAATAAGATCTTTTTAAATATATACTCTATAAGTGCATGCATTATATAAATTTTCTTTAAATATATAATATAACTTATAAAAGTATTATATATTTGCTCTTTATAAATATACTTTCTTTTTAAATATATGTTTTACTTTTTTTTAACTATAGTTCTGAAAAAGGTGCACTTAGAAAGGTCTTATTATAGTCTAGTTTTTGGTTTTTAATTAATATTCTTAATTAGAATTGATAGATCTTTACTTGTTTTTAGAATAACCTTCTGGTTTAAATGTTAAATATACAAAGAAGTCTGTTAGAAAAAAGCTTAACCTAAGACAAAAACATCTAATATTTTTATACCTACTTTTTGATATTTTATATACTGTAGATTTTGTTGACAACAAGTTTGCTTATACAAACCAAAAATATTGTTGTTGCTTTTCTATATTATTTGCTGTAGTTTGGTGTAATTGTTGTTGACTAAAAGATCATTAGAAGAGTTAAAAACTTTTTCCAATATTAACTCTAATATTAGCTATATTATATTTTGTTTATTTGTAGTATCAAATTAGTTTTTTTATTTAAATATTCTAAATTGTTAAAAAATAGATTAGTAGTATATTTATAGTAATAATATATATAATTTGTTTGTGCTGGTTTACAATTTAAATATAAATTTTATTTATAAAGTTAATTTTTAACTCTAAAAAAAATATATAAATATTCTAAAAATTTTTAAATTTTTATAATAAAATAAAATAAAATTTTAATTTTAGCTAATTTTAGCTTTAGCTACTACAATAGTTACTACAGATTAATTATATTAAATTTTTTGTATAAAATTTAAATATTATTTTTATAAAAAGATTCGTAATTAGTTTATTTAAAAAATGGGTAAAAATTTTTTTAAAAGTTATTAAATAAATAAAGCAAAACTTTATTTTTATATACGGTAATAAAAAACATACAACTTTCTTATAAATATAACAAAACTATATTAACTTCCGACGATTTCTAATATTAAATTTGCTGTTTTTATACCCTTTAACCGTTATTTACCTCTTAATTTTTTTAATTGATTTACTAAAATTTAACACCAATCATATGAATATCGCCAAGGAAAAAAGGTAGTTCTAAAATAGATTATGCCAAGTAAACCATTCTTGAGTTTCTAACAAATATTATGGAGCAAGCTATTTCGAATCTAATTGTAGTTTAGAATTATTAAAATTGGTTTAGTAGATCGGCGTTTTCACCTTCATGACTATATGATTTTTACATATTAGCAGAAACTTTCGGCATTCCAACATTATATGAGTGCCGTCAAAAGAAAAGCATTCTCCAGGGAAAATCTATTATCGGGCTTCCGATTATATGAAAGTCCGATGATAGGTTTTCTTTTGACTGTACTCATATGAAAGTAATATTATTTCTCTGCCGATTTTTATTTACTATGAAATTTATATCGTTCAACTGCGATCTCAAATTAGCCGATAAAACAATTTTACAAAAAAATCCAATTTTTAGCTTCGAAATAATAGTATCTGTTTTTCTAAAATAATATATTTATATTTTAATTAACTATATATTAAATATCAACCAATAAAAAGTTATTAATAGGCAGAACTAGACTGGGTTAGTTCAATCTTTAATCTACATCATTAAATTAGATATTCCGTACTACTTCATTAAATTAGATCGAGATATTCAGTATATTCTATTCCAGGTTGCTTCAGATTGCACCAAATATATAACCATTTTTTTAAACCCACATCAACTTTGGTTGGGTTCAACCCGGGTACCGCAATTTTAATTATTATATATATAGTAAGATAGTCTGATAATATCGCATGAAGATTTTCACACTCGATCATTCTATCGATAGGAATTATTTATTGATTTCTAGGTCCGTTAACAACCATTATTTTAAAGATTTCCATCATTATAACATCATTCATTAAATATAATAAGTACGAAATATTATTTAAGTATATTCTTATAATAACACTTGCACCATTTTACAAACGAGTTTATCGGCAGAAACATAGTAGCACAATATACGTAATTATAATTATGTAAGGGACGATTTATCATTATCACACAATTAAGTTTTTGGTTTTGCCAAATTTAAATAATAAAGTAATGAAAATCTACAGACGATAATAAAAAAGACAATAAATAAACATTGTGGTAATTTATGTTTTTTTTAATATTGCCTATTAAATAAAACTAATTAAAAAAATGAACAACTTTGGCAAAAACATTTTATTTTAACTATAAGAAACTTTGTTTTGTATTTCGATATAGTATATATGTATAATAAACTTTACCCGGTACGTACATGATAAAAAAATCATTTTTTTAATTTTTAATCTCGGATTTTCTATTAATCTCTATAATAAATAATAATAATAATTTAACACGTTACTATGTATACTTTTTGTCTGTCTTTGGCTCAATATGATTAAAAAGAGTTGTCTAAATAAGAAAGGAAATGTCTCTTTATTGTTAGTAATGAATGAATGAATAAATCATACCTTTAGAAAATAAAAATCCATTTTAATCGATATTTTAAATCTATATACTGTAGTAAGGACCAGTAACGGTTGATTCACGTATGACAGAATTCCTTTAACAGATTCGTAATTTATCATACACAATTTGATATATAAATCACATAATATAATGATTGCCCTCCTTGATCTTTTAGCCAATCAAAAAAAAACAACTTTCTGACTTCTCGAACTTCTAAAAGGATGCATTTCATATAAAAATGTGACCTGAGTCAAATTTTTTTTTTTGTTTAACCGAGGAGGGTCTATATGTATTATACTATTAGATGCTTGAAACTGTAGTCAAAGCTCCTCAAACTTTAAATATTTTATTAAATAGTCGTTCAAACGAACGAACTCGATAGTTTCGTAACTAAAGACACAATGAATAGTTTAATATTACGACGAAACTGTATACTAATAACATTATTGTTATATCTTACTTTCACGATGGTGGTCGATTCAGAGGAGACTAGGGAAGGTTATTACCTTGGACCTGAGAGAATTGGAGAAGATATACCACAACCACCAAATTCTAATGATCCATATGCTAACATAAGTAAGTGTTCCTTGAGAAATATATATACTATTATATAATTTTTTTTAACAAAATCGATTAATAAAGTTGATTTTTTAAAAACAAAATAGCGAGAGGAAATGATTATCCGATGGACGGAGCCAGCTATCTAACAGGAATAACGTTAATAATAACAGGTTTAGTAAACCTGATTCGAGGCAACAAATATAAATGGTTATCAATATTTCTTGCTTCATTCCATGGAATATGTATGCATATTGATATTGAACAAATCATTTACAAATGAGTTTACCAATTAATTTTCAAGCTAACCGGAATTTTTTTTAAATAAATTTAGGTATAATATTAATGTTGTTTATACTCAAGTACCAAAATGTAATAAATCCTTCATCAACGGTTCGACTTGTGTACTTTATAATAAGTATCGGAGCTGGGATTGCAGCAGGAGTATTTTTCGTATTATTATGGCCAACAGGAAAGATCCTTGTTGGAACACTTGGAGGTTTTTCACTAGCGATGATCTTATTAGCAACCAAAACAGATGGTTTAATATCAGATCAAATAGGACGATGGATATTTATTGGACTTTGTTCAATAATAATGTCAGTAGCAGCAGCATTTCATAAAACTTATCCATATATTGCGATTATTTCAACAGTATCCTCTGGATGTTATTGTCTAATACTTGGAGTAGATGTTTTTGTGCGTACAGGATTATTAGCATCTTTTAAAACTTTTTGGGGGTTTACACAACCCGAAGATTATCGGTATGTGGTTGATACACACGCAATCATAATACTATTATCTATTGGAGTTCTTGGTGGAATATTTGGTGTAGGCATACAATTATTGGAGTTATGGATAAGACAAAAAAATGATCGATCAAAGGTTGAAGTAGATGATGATAATGAAAGCCAAGAATCAATAAAATTTAGGTCATTTGGAAAAAAATTAACAAATCCATTTAAAAAACATTAATGAACTTTTTTTTTTTTTTTTTTTTTTATGCAAATAATTTAATTCATTAATTGGAACATTCATACCATTGATTTTAGAAGAACAAAATTTTAACTATTTTTTCATAATTTGTACAAAAATTGTTTAAAGATTTTATTAATTCTGCATTAATGCATATATATACATCACAACAAAAATGTGTTTTTTTCAACTGAAAAATAACAATATAACAATGATAAAAAAATTAAAGCATTTTCATTCAGTGAATGCAACATAATTATATAAGCCTCAAATTTTTAGTCTGGGAAGAATAATTTACGGTGATTGAAAACTTAATTAGCCAATCAAATTCCAGAATTTGGGATAATGATTATAATGATTATCGTTATGTATTAGTCTATTTAACGCTAAGCGTTTATCGTTAGTGTTAGCGCGTTAGTGTTAGCGTCTAGGGCGTTTATTATTTAGTTAAAGAAATATACTCTTCACGGAATTAGTTATCTTTAATCAAACCAGTAGCTCAAGACGCCCATGGGCGTTTTTCGAAACTAACGCACATGATTATTATACGATTTATGATATAAGTGTCGCAGGTACGTACGTAGTAAAAACCTGTAACTGTACTTAATGATTTACCATTACAGCATTATCAGCATTATGGAGTGTTTGTCAAATTTAGCCCCCAAATTTAAGTTTTAGGGACCAAATTTATTAGTTATTTTTTTAAGATTTAAATTTTTCGTTTCATATATATGAGTGCTGTCAAAACTTCATTATTAAGTTTACTTGCTAGATCCGATACGTATGTAATACGTAATTAAAATGAGTGCCGCAAGAGAAATCAGACTTCGGCTTTTAATTACGTATTACATACGTACGTATCGGATCTAGCAAATAAACAAATTCACGAAATCTTGTTTTTCCTTAGTAACACATGTAAGCGGAAACTGAATTTAAGTGGATTCGGAATTTATATATAAAACCCCGTTTTGGGTTGATTTTATCATATGTACACCTAACCCTAATTTAACTAGGAAATTCCAAATCCACTTAAATTTAAAAAGTATATCATCGTTAAATCAGAATACCGATATCGATATGTGAGGTCAATTAAATTCACAAAATTTTCAAATTTTGGGGTATTTAACAAACACGCCGTAATGTATCAGTTATCATTACAGGTCTTTCACTCGTATGCCGGGTTAGTTTAGGCAGGATTAAAGGCCTGAATAGGTTAATATTAGAAGAGTACTAAATCTAGTTCTCCATTAATGCACCAAGATTGGTTTATACACGAGCTGAGATTTTGATTGGTCGTATGCATCGGGACCCCAGTTTCAGATAGTTGATCTTTCAGAAATTTTGTAATCATACATACAATAAGTTATTATAATAAATTACTTCTTATTCTGTAATTTTCTGTTTTTTACTTAGCTAAAACTTGAAAGTTTTAGTAGTACAGTATTACGTACGTACTTATATAGTATTGCTAACATATAGTACGTAACATTATCGTTATATACCGGAAGTATTCTTGTAAAACATGGTCCCTTTTTAAGTAACTTTACACAGAGATCACGATGATTAGCATCGTAATCAATATATATCGATATTACTATACAAAAAGTCATTTAAAAAAAAGGACCCAGTATAGTACAGTATAATAGTTTAATATAAAGTAACTATATACATATATACGTATATAGTTGCTTTATAGTTAATTGCAAATATATAGTTCTAAAGTTGCAAATTTGTAAAGTAGATTTATATAAAGTTGTATCCACATTGACAATTACTTTTATCTGTGTAATATAATAGTGTCATATAGATTAGCATTAGTGAGAATTACGTATTAAATTCGAGTAAAGCCAACCTTCAGTGTATCTTTTATGTCAATCATAAATCAAAGAAATAAAAATTGATCCTATTACTACTTGTTTCGCCAAACTGGCTTGAATCAAATCGCAATCAATCGTTCTTAATTAAATTTCTAAAGAAAATAACTCTTCAGAACAATGAATATATGCAAATAATAATAATATAATAATAATAATAATGCAAATCTCATAAAAGCACCTTTAATTGTAAAATTGAACTCAAAATGGACAACAAGATACCAACAAACTGCACAAACCCAAAATTAAAACTATAAATGAGAATTATTCGACAGTTTCTTACTCAAGGCTGATTGATGTGGCCACTTCATCTAAACTGAAAGATTAAAAATCTGCAAAGATGTCAATTCTTAAGGTTGAGACTAGAATCAAAAAAATTATTCGCCAATATAAGTTTCATTTTTTTTATAATAAACTTGATACAATTTGTATTATGTACAAAAAAAAAAAAAAAACTAATAGTAGCCACATATTATACTTGGTAGATACTTTGTACATAGACGTTTGATAAAAATTATCACTCAATCAACATAATTTATAACCATTTTTAATATTTCATATTTGTTCAACAGACAGAAATAAACTATAAAATAAATTTCGAGATTCAATTTTAATATTTTCAAATATTCTAATTAGGAAGAAAATACTTACAATCCATAGGTTCTTTACTTAAGGATGGCTTCTTTTATCGCAGTAGACGGAACATTATCAATATTTCTTCTAGTATGTTCTTCGATTCGTCTTACGATTTTTATTATGGTGTTTAAAGCAGAACCAATTGCAAAATATACTAGATCAAATATGATAATAAAAGCAGCTGGTGCCATTAAAAGGCAGGCAATGTATTTTACGACTACAAACATCTTTTATGATTTGTTGTAGGTAGTGGAGTACGAAGTACGAGAGAGTTTAAGAAAAAGAAATGGGTGAATATTTATAATCGTTTGAGAAAAATCTAAATTGTAAAATTATTTTAAATTTATTTTTGAATTTGAATGCACTTTAATAAATTTGGATGAAAATAATAGAGGTATAGTATACAATAATTGATTATAAATCGTTTGAAATTGATAATACGGTATCATAATAATTATGGATATCAACATATCATGTAAGAAAAAAAAAAATTAAGTGTCGACATTTTTTTTCCTCTTAAATAATTTTTTTTTTTTTTACAATTTCTTTTATTTCTGACTTAAAGCATGTATTGGATCGATTATTTTTTATTTATATTGTTAGAATAATCGGTTTCGGGATCCAGTTACTGACATGATTGTGCTTTATTTTAGGTATTATGCTCTTATCTATTATCGTTATCTTTATAATCTCTACTATAATATCCTATAAATATCAAAAGAACCAACCGGGCGTTTTTACTAACGCTAATGCATCTGAAAAATTAATACGATTAGAAGATTCTGGTGATTACCTTATCGTTATGTACTAAAATATATAATACTATGGGTCATTCTCACGACCGTATAACAAAGTTCAATTTCTTTCTCACGATTAAATGATGAATGCGTCCACTTTGATATTCTGCATACGTATTAGATCGATTGGTAATTAATCCGTCTTCATTATTATTTTATTTATTTTATACTCTATAAAAATAAAATATCTCTTCATATAAATGCGTACATCTTAATCGAACCATGGTTTACTCACATGATAAATATTTATCTCTAGTGGTGTAATCATATATAATCCACATTTCTATTTATAGCTAAATCCATTCTTTTTTCTGATACAATGGAGACTTTAGAGGATGAGGTAATTACCAAGAAAAATCGTTTGTGGTGTATCATATGTTTGATATTGGCCTTCCTTTTTTACGTTTATACCTATCATTCATTCATTTCATTGATTATTACGAATGAAGTTGTGCTTTCTAAAAAGAAATTTATGAATACTCTTATTTCCTTAAATCATTCTCTTGGCTCCTCATTCGTTATAACAATGAATTTCTTCCTTATTTGGCTTTCTGTCGTCATTGATGTAAACATTTAATTGGTGTTGATCCTGACTTTCTTTACGCTTATATATAGCTTATTAAGCACTGATTACTTGTTGAAATAGTTATATGATTATCTTGGATTCACAAAGACAAAAATGTATCGTGTGAATTGTGAATTGTGGGGTGCATATCGATATTCTTAGTTATTTATTAATCTAAAATAATAAGATAGCGATAGAGATAGACAACAATGTTAAATATTTTTATTCTTTTTCAAAATGTGTAAAATTCTAATTTCAAGGTTATGTCCTGTTATTTGTAGCCAATTATACAAATCAATTAACTGATAACAAATACTTGTCGATTTATTGTTCAAATAAACTTTGAGTTACCATAAAATAAAAAAATTTTTTAACATAAACTTTATTTTAAATAAAGATTTTTATAATTTAGTGCATATGCAATGCAGTGTGCCTA